CTAAAGAAGATAGCAGTAATTTATACTTAGAAATAGCTAAACAGCGTTAAAGGTATTTAGAGTTTTATAAGATTTACTAACTTCTACTAATAGTTTATTAAAGAATTCTTAGAAATTATTACTTTACTAACTAAACTTACTAAGAAAGGAGTAGTATTCTAATAAAAAGAACTCTAAGAAATAGTATTTTCTAAGCTTAAAAGTACCTTTATTTCTAAGCTAGTATTAGCTAACTTTAACCTAGACCTAGAAATAGTAATAGAATATAATGCTTCTAGGTAAGTAACTAGTAGAGTTCTTTTATAGTTTAGAAAAGATAGGCTACTTTATATAGTAGTATACTACTTAGTAAAGAATATAGTAGCTAAGGTAAACTATACTATATATAATAAGAAGCTATTAGCTATTATAAAGTATATTAATTAATAAAGTACTAAACTCTAGTAAGTTCTAAAGTTTACTATTATTATAGATTATAAGAACTTAGAGTATTTCTATACTATAAGGCTGCTATTTAAGAGGTATATACGCTAGTTAAATATACTTAGCTAATTTAATTTAACCTTTATATACTACCTAAAGAAGGTTAATAGAAGAGCTAATATACTCTCTTAAAAAGAAAAGAATCTACTAATAAGCTAAAATAATAAGTATATAAAGATAAGAGAATTTTAGCTTTTATAGCTATATATAAGAAGCTAACTCTAACTTAAAGAGAAGAAAGAGGTAGGTATTTTATTCTACTACTAAATATAAAGTCTACAGCCTTAGAAACCTAATAATACACCTTTAGTAGATAATAACTCTCTACTAGAACCTAATAATACGCCTATAAGAGTTACTACTAACTTTACTTTAGCCTATTACAGCTTAGAGAAGCTTAAGAGAATATAGGAAGTTATAGCTAAAAATAACCTAATATATAGAAAAGTAAAGAAGGCTATAGAAATAAGTTAGAGAAAGTTCTTTCTAGACCTAAACTTAAAAGTCTTATTAGTAAAGTATACTATTAATAAAAGAGAGTTTCTACGCTACTAAAGGTAAAAATAAGTACTAGATTTAAAAGAACTATATATTAAAATTATCTTAGAAACCTATAAATCTTTAGCTATAGGCTATCTAGGCTATAAAAATACCTATATAATCTTAGCTTATAACTACTTCTTTTTAGGAATATTATCTATAATAAGGTAATTTATCTAAAACTATAATATATATAGAAGAACTAAGCCTTAAAGAGAACTAAAAAGAAGACTACTAAAACTACTCCTTCTCTTAAATAAAGTATAGAAGGAAATTTTAATAGACTTTATTATTAATTTACTTATAAGTAATAGGTACTAGCACCTTATAGTAGTTATAGATAGGTTAAGTAAAAAAATAATACTTATTCTATTAAAAGATCTAGATACCTAAATAGTAATAAGAGCTTTTATAGAAAAAGTAGTAGCCTACTATTAGCTCTTAGATACTATTATATCTAACTATAGTAGCTAGTTTATTAAATATATTTAGAAAACCCTTTATAGAAAATTAGGTATTACTTATTAGGTATTTACTAGTTACTATCTAGAAACTAATAGTACTACTAAAAGGATAAACAGCACTATAGAATCTTACTTATAGGCCTATATTAATTAGAAATAAGATAACTAGGCGCTAATATATCTTACTACTTAAATTACTATTAAAGGAAGAAATATAGTATTTACTAGTATTAGCCTATTCTTTCTATAATATAGATATAATATAGATATAGTATAAAAAGATATAGAATAAGTAATCTAGTAATAATATTAAAGGCCTAATAATCTAAAGAAGTTAGCTAAAATACTTACTATAAAATTTATAAAAATACTAGATTATATATAAGTAAAGATAGTAGAAGCCTAATAACTCTAAGAAATCTAGGCTAACTACTATTAATAAAAAGTACTATAACTATAAAAGAGAGACTAAGTATAGCTATAGTACAGAAAACACTTCTCTAATAGTAGGCTAAGTAAGAAACTAGACTAAAAAAATATAAAGTTCTAGGTAAAGAAAGTAATCTTTTTTTATACTATAAAATTAAATACTTTTCTAGGTATTTACCTAGTATTTTATATAAATAGGCTACAGCTATACTCTAGAAACCCTCTAGTAGAATAAGATACTAATAATTACTAACCTAAAAGTATATTAAAAAATATTAATAAAGAACTAAAAAACTACTAAAAAATTAAAGAAATTATAGGTAAAAGGTAGAAATAATATAGTAAAGAGCGTAAGAAATAATACTTAGTTAAATAAGAAAACTATACTATAACTTTATAAGAGCTAGTAGAAAACCTTAAAAAAGCTAAAGTACTAGATAGCTAGTTAACCTTCTCTAAAAAAAAAAAAAATAATACTAATAAATTACTAGAAGATTTCTAAAAAAGTTCCCTTAATAAACTATAATAATACTAAGGCCTCTAGTAATAGTAAAGTAGAGGTAAAGAAAGTAATATTTTTAGTAATAAGTACTATAGAAAACTATAGGTAGTTTACTAACAGATACTCTTACTAAAGCTAAAAATATAAATAGTTAAAAAAATTAAAATATTACTAAAAAAAGAAGAAAAGAAAATTAGTTAATAAGTATAAAATTAACTACCTATAAGCAGCTAAAGCATTACTAACAGAGTACTATAGGCCTAAAATACTATACTATACTAAGTATCTACTAAAATACTAAAGGAAAAACCTAAGAAACTACTACTATATTACTTTATTCTTACTACTAATAGCAGTATTATCCTTAAAAGTATTCTAATTACTAGTACTACTATTATTCTTATAGATAGGTAGCTCTTAAGGCTTAAAAAGAAAAAAGATAAGCTTAATAATAATATTAATAAGATACTTAGTCTAACCTTTAGTAGTTTTAGCCTAAAAAAGTATAAAAATTAGCTAAGAAAGTAGTAAAACTAGAAAGAAAACTTACTAAAACTAAAACAGCCTTACTCTAATAATTAAGTATAGCCTAAATATTACTAAGCTTAACTATAATAGTATAAAGAAGTAACTTAGTAATAGTATTACTAAGGTTATTATCCTAATACTTAAACTAACTAATAAACTTCTTCTTAGCCTTTTACTAAGCCTTAATAAGCCTAGGACCTAACTTATTAAAGTATAAAGTAATAGACTTTATAGATATATTACTAAAAAAGATAGTAAAAAGACTATAAAGAAAGATAACTTTAGCTTTAAGCTAATTAAGAACCTACCTAAAAGTTAACTAGTAGTACCTAAGTAAAGGTAAATATTACTTACCTTATAATAAGTAGTATACTATTCCTAAGAGTAGTAATTATAAAACTACTTACTCTTTTTAAAGATATAGGTCTTTCTATCTTCTAAAAGATAGTAGGTATAACCTAAATAGATAAGTAGCTAGAGAGGCTAGTAGCTCTTAGTAATAGAGGTAGAAGTAAGGGTAGAAACAGCGCTAGTAGTAATAAATAAGTAAGTAGTAAGGTATAAAATTAATAAAATAAGAAGTTAGTAAAGAAAGAAGTAAATCTAATAGACTAAATAAACTTATAGGTAAAAGTAAAGCCTCCTTATAACTTTTAGTAGTAGAATAAGTCTATTTTCTTACTAAAGACTTCTTTAGAGAGCTAGCAGCTATAGAGAAGAACTTAGAAAATAATATAGGCTTCTTAAGTAAACCTACTATTATAGTAGTAGGTAAAATAGAAGTTAAGGTAGGTAAAGTTAGTATAGCTACAGCAAAAAAAAATTATGTATAGAGGTAGGTTAACGCGTTATATTATAGTAGGGTTAAAACACAAAATTTTTTACTAGAAGGGGCTTATATAATAGGCTAGGCCTAGTAGAACCTTAGTAAGTAAAGCCTTAGAGCTTAGCTACCCTAACTGCTAACGCCTACTAGAAATAGCTAGTACGCTACTAGAAGGACTATAAGTAGAGGAAAACTAGTACTATAGATCCTTAGTAAATTTATCTAATTTATACTAGTAACTACCCTTAGGGTTAGCCCCTTACAGTATACTATTATTATAAATAATTTTAGAGATACCTTAGTATAAATAGTTAAGTTTATACTTTATAGACTTAAATATAAAAGTATAGGTTTAGCTAAACTAGATAGAAGAGTAGTAAAAATCTATCTAAATTATACTAAGTATAATATTAAATTTTCTAATATTAGTAACGTAGCAGAAAGTAGTACTAGTATAAGTTCTATATTATATAAGTAGGTTAACAGCTTACGTAAGTATACTTACTAAGCTACTATCTACTAATTAGAGTTTAATTAGGTCTAAGGTATAGTATATAGTAAGTCTATATTACTTTACTTAATCTTAACTTATAAAGTAGGCACTTACTCTAAAGTCTATTAAATATCTTATTTTATACTATTTACTTTTTAGAGTCTTAGTATAAGTAAAGAACTTAAGTTATTTTACTATACTTAGCTAAGGTTTATAATTTATAAATATAGTAGAGATATAGTACTAAAGTATTAAAGATAAAATAACTTTAGTAATAGTAAGAAGTTTATATATAGCTTATTAAAGATAGTTATAGTAGATAGTAATACGTTTAGTTTAATAATAAGCTTTACGCTAGTTAAGCTCCTATAAGTAATTATTTATAAAAGTATCTAAAAATCCTACTTTATTAAGTATTTATCTCTACTAATAAGCTTACTCTTTATAGCTTTATTATTTATATTAGCGTACTCTTTATTATTAGACTTATTAAATTCTTAAATTACTATTATAGTATTAAGGTAAGAGATTTTACTTAATAAAGTAAATAGCTTATTCTTATAAAAAGTATTATAACTCTAAGCTTAATATCTATCTTTACTATAGTAGAAGCACTTATAAAGTTTAGCTAGTTAGTTATACTTTTTTTAGAAACAGCCTTAGGTAATGCGCTACTCTTATTTACGTAATAGTATATAGTAATTAGATTTATAACTATTCTGCGTAGCAGTACCTATGCTAGCTATAGGCCTAGGTATATATTAGAAGTTAATTCTAGTGTTAGTAATAGAGATACTATATATATAGTATAGAAATACTGCTAGTAACTTACTACCTTTAGATTTAATTAGTACGCTTTTAGCTAGGTCTTTATCAAGAAATTAGTAAGTATAAGAGATTATAATAGAGTTAACGTATTTAATAATATTATATACTACTATAAAGTAGGCTTACTATTTTCTAAACTCTTTACTATAATTTTATTATAAACTACTATTAATAAGCTTAGCTTCTGCTTTAGTAATCTTTTTAAATTTATTATTACTATAGAACTTATCTAGTTCTTTAAAAAGGTTTAAGTAGTACTAGAATTTTATATAATTAATAAGTTTCTATACAGTATCTTATACACGCGTTTCTAGATATATAATCTATTATAGTTCTTTTAGAAAGGATTTGCACTTAGTAATAGTAAAGTATTACTACTTTTTTTAGTCTTTATTATTCTTACTATAGAACTTATTTAGCTTAGGGAGTTTAGGCTAGTAAACCCTCTTTATTAGTATAAAGTATAAGAGAGTTAAGGTAGAGTTTTATTATAGTAAGTAGTTTTACAGTTTATAGTTATAAGTTATAGGCTTAGTATAGTATAAATAGCTAGTACCTATAGTATAATAGTATTAAGTTCTATCTTATAAGTAGGAATACTTAGGAGTAGAAGTATAGTAATACTATTTTAGTATCTTAAGTAAAAAAGTCTTATACTACGTAAGTAGTTAGGAGCGTAAGTATAATTATAATTATAACTATAAAATACTTATCTACTTTCTATTCTTACTATAGCCTAGCTTATATTAATAGACTTAGTTAGTTATAGCTTTTAATTTAGCTGCTAGTTTTCTAACGCAGATATTAGCTATATCTATTACCTAATAAGCTTTTATAAGGTTATTCTTATAAGTAGCTATAATTTAGGTTTTATTAATTACTTTATTATATACCTTTTAGGCGTCTTTTGGTTACTTTTTATACTTATAATAGTAGTAGTTAGCGTTAGCTTATTTACTAGTAAGGTTAGTAGTAGTTTTACTAAGCTCTTCTTTAGTTATAGTAAGCTTTACTTTAAAATAAGTAAGCTTATTAGTTACTTTAGTATATAAGTTACTATTAATACCTGTTTTTTAAGTAAGTTATTTAACTTAAGCTTTAGCTTATTAGAGTTTATAAAGTATCTTCTTATAGTTTTTATAAGAAATAGTATTCTTATTATTAGTTTATTATAGTACTTACTTAAGCTTCTTTTCTAGGCTTAGCTTATTATCTAGTTACTTATCTATAGCTAAAGTATAATTATATAGAGAGATTATAAAGTTAGTAAAAAAAGTATACTAGTCTTTAGGCTTATTAAGAATAGCCTTATAGAAGTTAGTTATATTAGTAATCTTAGTAGTAGTAAGCTAGGATATTTATTTACTAATAGTATAGTTCTAGCCTACTCTTATAGTAGTATAAGAGTCTATAAGATCTATACCTTGTTTAATTTTAAACTAATAGTTATTATTATTATAGCTTATAATTTAGATATAGTATATATAACTATTACTAGCTATTATAAATTAATTATTACCTAGGTTAACAGCATAATCTATATATCTATTATAAAGAGTTATAGGCTCTTAGGTTAGACTACTACCTATTACTTTTATTAGTAGTAAGGTAGAGTAAGTATCTAAAAAGGTACTAGCGTAGTATAAGAATAAGTAGTATAGTACTAAGAGTTCTAGGTAGTATACTAATTAGCTACTAACTACTATAGTTTAGGTAAAGTCTTAGGTAGTACCTCTATTTATTATTATAAAGAAGTATTTATATAAACGAAAGATTTAATTATATAGGTCTGTAAGTACTAGTATCTATAAACTTTACTAATTATAGGTCTACTACTACGTCTATATCTTGCCTTATTATAGGTAGGCCTCTTTTTATTAGTGGTTTAAGTTTCTTATTAGTAGGGGCTTCTTTAAGCTAGTCTATTAACTAGCCTAATATTAAAGTTTTATACGCTAAGCTTCTAGTAAAGTACTACTTAATATTATTACTATTAAGAGTAATTATACGTAAGCTTAGATTAGTAGCTTAATAAAGTTCTTCTACTTTATAGGTATATAATAAAGCCTTTACTAGCGTATATACAATTACTAACAGCTTCTAAGTTAGGTATAGTAGGGTAATAGAAATTCTATAGCAGTAAGCCTAATACAGTATACTTTAGGTATAAGAGTTAAACGTAGTATAGTATAAAAGAGCTAATAGAAGTTATATAAGAAAGATAGAATAATTAGTTAAATTCCTTTAATAAGTAAGATACTGTGTTAGTAAGTAACTGTAGGGCTGCTAGGTAGCTACTAGCTAGATTACTAGCTAAGCGCGCTAGCCTAGTAATTACGTAATTACTAGCTAGCTATAGTTTAAGCCCTTAATATATTATATATATACTTATTCTTCTATACTAGGTATAATAGTTCTAAATAAGAGTTAACTTACCTTTTTAGACTATTATTATTTACTCTTTCTAATATTAATTATTACTTCTTTTATTAGCCTGTGCAAGCCCTTAACGTATATACGCATAAAAATAATTTTGTTTAATTATTACTACTACGTAAAATAACTAATTTAGGTTATACTTAGGCTGCGATTTAAGGCCTAAAAATGCCTAACGCTAGAAGAACTACTTATTTATACTTCTATTTTAAAGAAATACAGGGTTAATTAATCTACGTTGTCCTAGAGGCATTGTAGAGTAATAAGCACGTATAAAGAAGCTATAATCATAACTATAATCTTAACCTTATATAGAATTATAAGCTTTTACAGTATATTAATAGGCTTTATAAAAAAGGACTACTACCTATATAAGAAAGAATTAGGAACTTTATATTAGAATAAGCTAGAAAACCTAATAGAAAATAATCGATTAATTAGCAGATTAAGGTAAAACTATTTATCTAGTTTCTTAATAGACTACTAGTATTAATACAAAATACTAAAAGCTAATTTAGCCCTTAAATATAAGTTTTAATTTAAGTAACTATACTATATAGTTAAGTAATATAGTACTAAGCTACTGTTTATATATAATATAGATAAAAAGGCTTCGTATTAGGGTACTGTCTAAAATAAAGAAGGTCTTTTGTAGAAATTAATATAAGCGTAAGTAGGACTAGGTAGTACTCTAGAATAGTAATAAAGAGTAAATTATAGTACTCTAGAATAGTAATAAAGAGTAAATTATAGTACTCTAGAATAGTAATAAAGAGTAAATTATAGTACTAGCTTTTATTTATACGAATAGATTAGCTTTAACTTTGTAACTAATATATTAAGCTCCTCTTAGTAATCTCTAAGATACTTAGATTTAAGATCTTAATTATTCTATTTATTAGGCTTTATTTTTGTTATTACAAATAGGCTAGATATATAACTTAATACGCCTAGCGTAGCTAAAATAAGAATTTAATTAGGAATCTTAAAAAGAAAGTGTAATGCTTATATTAATTACTTATTATTAATAGCTATAGTAGCTATATTACTATAGAGTTTATTAAGTACTTTAATAAAAATAGAATTCTTGCTACTATTCTACTACATTTTTTAACCTATAGCCTCTAGCTGCTTAGTATAGTTATATTTAAGCCTTTCTTAACAGCTTACTTAGCTAAGCTCCTAAATTTCTAGATATATACTAAGGGCCCTAATTTATTACTAAGTAAGACTTCTATTAGCTTTCTATACAGCCTAAAATACTTTATTAAAGTAAGGTATAATAATAAAACTTATAAAGCTACTAAAGTCTATCTACCTCATTCTAATAATATACTCTAATAATTTAATTAAAGAGGTAGCTAGCTATTATTAATCTTATTTATAAGCTTAGCTTTAAGTACTTTAGACTAGAGAAAGATTAGGTAGATACTAAGGCACGTAGTAATTAATTAAGGCTCTTATAAAATATAGAGCTTAGCTAAGCTATCTATATAATCTTAATCTAGAAATTACTTATTAAGTAATAAAGTAGCTAGCTTAAAGAAGCTATAATCTAAAAGAAAAAATAATAGTAATATAGTAAAGTATACTGCTTTAGCTACTAGCTTCGTAAAATAGAGGTACTATTTTCTAGTCTTTTATACAGATAGCTGCTGCTTAAAATCTATAAAAGCAAAAAACCTATATTAGGAGAAACTATAATACTAAGAAATAAAAGTAATTAAGCTTTAAGATAAGTAAAACTAGCTTAAAGTAAACTTTCTCAAATAATAATATTAAAATTAAGATTTAGCTAAGAAGCTAATAGCTTAAATAAGCTAAGAAATAAGCTTAATAAAAAGAGGAAAAGCTTATTTACCCAGCTTTAAAATAACTCTAAAATAATACTTAATTATCGTAAAAGAATATAAGTAAAAGCCTTAAAGTTAAATAAGCCCTAGTTCTTAGTTTAGTAGTTAATTATAGAGTAGGTATATTAAATAATAATAAGAAGCCTCTCTTGCCTTCGTCCTAATAAAGCTAAAAGATTATACTCCTAGGCTAATTAAAGTATTACAATTTAATTACAGTACTCTAGTAACTACTATATTAAATAATCTTATAATTATTCCATTTATATTAGGTGCTGCAGCCTTGAAAACGTAGCTTAAAAATAGTGTTCTGCGTATATAGGCCAAGGGCGTGCACGGGCTAGTAAAACACGTTATATAAAGAGGCTAGGTATTAGGTTTTATTCTTGGTTACTATCGTATAATCTTGCTATATAGTATTATTTTAGGTTTATAGCGTATCTATGCTTGGAGTATAGGTAGAACTATAGTATAGTAAGAATCTAATATAGTAAACTAGTATAGAAGCTAATACCTTACCCCTTTTTACATAGTAAATATTAGTATAAGTAAATAGTAAAGGTAATAAAGAGCTAGTTAGCTATCTCTTAAGTACTAGCTACTTAATATACTAATATAGATATAAATTTAAAAGCTTAGGTAGATATTAGACATAGTATAGTTTAGCTCTTACTTATAAACTATAGTTACGTTAAGATAACCTTTTAATTAACTTATAATCCTTAATATCTTACAGGGTAATAATAGTTTATATAAATAAGCTAGTATATAACAAATCTTTATACCTTAAAAGTTAAAGTCTAAATACTTTATATATCTCTTAATCTATCTTATCTTGTCTCTTTTCTCTACTAAGATTATGCTGGTTAAAAATGTAATCTTATTAGCGTAGCCTAGGAGTTTCTTAACTAGATTTTATAGTATACTAGTAATTAAAAAATTATTATAACTAATTACTACTACTAGTATGCTATTTACTATTAAAATAAACTCGCCGATTTTAGCTAATAGAATAGTAGGCTGTATCTCTTAAGAATATTAAAATCTAAACTTAGCACTAAAAAAGAGCTAACGCAGGGCTTAATACTAACACGCTAACAAAATCTAATTAACTAATAACTAGGCCGGAATCTGCAGGTTTATTTTACTAGTGTATGCGATACTAGTATATTAATTAAAGTTCTACTAAGAGATAGTTAATCTGCTATTTAATACTCTTATTCTATACTTTTACTAATATCTATTATTAATAGAAGGGATAAGTATTAGCTTTAATACTAAGTAACTTTACTATAATTATACTATATTACATCTTGTTTCTTATAGAATAAGTAAAAAGACGCTAAACTCTAAACGCTATAATTTTTTTTTTAAGTATTAGTAATTAAGTTTTTAGGACTAATTGAATCCTGCCAAAAGCATATAATAATAAGAATAATTAGAGAATACTAAACTTCTATTATTATAAGAATCTTAGTTTGTTATTAAGAATATATCTCTTGAATTTAGGTCTTTCTTATATTCTAACTTCAACCTTTAATAAATAAAAAAATCTTTTTAGTAATTTATTTTAGGTCTTATTTTTAGCTAGTGTCTAGTAAGCTATCTATTAGTAGTAGTAAAAAGTAGATTAAGAAGCTAATATTAATAGAAAGTAAACTATTAATAAAGTTTTTAGAGTTATAAAAAGATCTATCTTCTTAAATTAATCTTAAAAATCTTATTTTGTATTTATCTCTTATTTATAAGCCTTATCTATTAATTTCTTAGAGGCGTATAGTGTTTTAAAAAATAGTAATAACTAATCTTTACAAAGTATAAGAGCGGAATTAGTAAATTTAATAGCTACGATAGCCAGAATAGTAATTAAAGTATAGATCTGTTAGAATCTCGTCAAAATTACAAGGAGAAAGTAATAGTACATATTTTTTATTTAAAGAACTGTAATACTCAGCTCTTATTACTTTAAAATTAGTAAAGAAATAGAATTATTATTTTAGGTTTATAACGTATTTCTACTTAAAGTACAGGCAGATATATATAATATAGTAGAAGTCTAATATAGTAAATAAGTATAAAAGCTTATACCTAGCCTTTTTTATATAGTAAAAGCTAGTAAAAGTATAAAGTAGCAGTAAAAGAAAGCTAGTTATTATACTATTTATTAGTTCTTAGCTAATTATTATACTTGTCTATATAATTACTTTAAAGTCTAAGCAGCTGTTAGTTAAAGCTTATTTTAATTATAGACTTTTAATAATACTATAAATTATCTCTAGGTTTTCAGAACTCACTAATTAAATAGTAATTTTTAAAATATACTTTTTAGGATGTTTTCAGGGGACTAAAGGTAGGAATAGTTAATATAGGTAACCTAGTATTTAGATATCCTTATACCTTAAAGGTTAAGATCTTAATCTATATATCTATTTATATATCTATGTTATCTTATCTCTTTTTATAACTGAAATTATACCTTACTATTAATATTATCCTATTAGTATAGCCTAAGAGCTTCTATACTACGTCTTATATAAAACAAATAATTAAAAAATTAAATTAAGTAATTACAAGTAC